TTGAGATTGACAAAATTAGGGGCGTCAATTGTAAAGGTAGAAAATGTAGAAAGTGAGATTGAAAAAACTAAGGGCCTCAATTATAAAGTTAACAGGTGAGATTATAAAATTAAGGGCCTAAGTTATAAAGGTAGAAAATGTAGAAAGTGAGATTGAAAAAACGTAAGGGCCTCAATTATAAAGTTAAAAAATTGAATTAAATTAGGCGCCTCAATTATAAATGTAAAAAGGGGATTGAAAAAAATTAGAGATTTCAATTATAAAGATAAAATGTGTGATTGAATAAAAATTAGGACCTCAATTGTAAAGGTAAAAAAATAAGATTTAAAAAATTAGAGGCCTAGTTATAAAAATGAAAAAGTTGGGGGCCTAATTATAAAGATGAAAAAATGGGGGCCCAAAGCAATTGCTCAGGGCGCTCCCCCTAATAGTCGTCTCTGGTTAACATACTGACTGTGATATGATAAAATATAATTTCATAATCTCAAATGGCTATATATTACAGTCATCATGTAAATGTCCAACTTAGATAACCATCAATTTTTAACGAAAAATGATGAGTTTAGAACATAATGAATAGTCAGGTGACCATTTTGTAACTTTTAATAGTTGAAGGACTTAACAAAATAACATTCTATAGTCAAAAGATCATTTTGTAACTTTTAATAGTCGAAAAACTTAATAAAATAATATTCTATAGTCGAGGGACCATTTGTATACTTTACCCTTAAAATTAAATATTAAATGTTATATTAATCTTAACTTTATTGACAAGATTATATTATAATATTGAAGATAATATGAATTCAAATAATTAAATTTGAACCCTTAACACCTCTCGTTTTGCTTACTAACAAATATCAACAATGCTTGAGAGTTGTAAAAGAGTCGAATTCGAATATTGTTAAGTTCGATTCAACTTAAAAACTCTAAAATAAAATTTAATTCGACTCGAAAACTCTCAAGCTAAAATTTTCAAGCTTGACTCGAGTTGAAGCTCGAAAAAGCTCAAAATGAAAGGAAAAAAACTTAAATTTAACTTGATTGGAGTTCAAAGCTCAAACTCGAACCTTAAATACATGAAAACTTTATATGTTTTTTAAAAAAAATAAAATTTTAATATATTATATTTTCGAATTGCTCACGAACTTTTCGAATTGAGTATCAAGTAGCTCGTTCCGACTCATTAATAACTCAAATTAAACTCAAACTCGAATCTATTTGAGTTAAATATTTATTAAGTTTTGACTTAATCAATTTCGAATAACTCATACTTACGAATTTTCTTCCTTTTTCTTATTAATACTAATTAATTACTTGCACGAAAACAAAGGCTGGCCACGTGGTACGTAAGCGGTCAGAGAATAAAGAGATTCCTCTTTGGCCCACGTGCTTTTGTTTGAACAGAAGTTGACGTCACTAACTACGTGTCTTAGTTTAATTGGTTTGTCCCATTGGCAAATATCCTTATGGGACGTTTGGTTCGCTGGAATATTCATGGGAGAATTAAAATCTGTGAAATAATTGAAATATGACAGAAATTGAAATCCAATTCCATATTATGTTTTGTTGGCAGGAAATTGAATTGAAATCCAATTCAATATTCTGTTTGGTTCGCATACATGTCAGATGAATTTGATTTCAGTAATGTAAAATGACATGATTGTCCTTTTTATTTTTTTTTCTTAATTTTAGTTTGTTTTATAAATTACATGTAGCAATATATTATAAAAATTTTAAAAAAATAAATTTTAATTTGATTGATTGATTGATTATTCATTTTAATAAATTATAAAAATCATGCTAATAAATATCATAAGTTAAAATCATCCCAATTAGGGATGGCCATGGGCCGGGTTGGGTCGGGTTTTTGGTTCACCCGACCCGACCCGAGAACAAGAGAACCTCCATCCGAGACCCGATCCGACCAAAATAAAGTTTCACCTGACCTGAATATATGAATTAGAAACCCGACCCGACCCGAAATAATAAAAAAAATTATTTTTATTCAATAAAAACAGTGACTTAATTGGAAAAATATATATATAGAGAGAGAGGTATTATTGTAATTATTCCTAAATATATAAGGTAGAATTATATATTTTTTGAGTCAGGTCAGGTCGGGTATTTTTCACCCTAAACCCGAACCCGAACCAACCCGAATATCACACTTAAAAAAACCGACTCGACCCGACCAAAATAAAGTTTCACCCGACCCGACCTGAATATATGAATTAGAAATCCGATCAGATCCGACCCGAAATAATAAAAAATTATTTTTATTCAATAAAAACAGTGACTTAATTGAAAAAATTATATTTAGAGGGGTATTATTGTAATTATTCCTAAATATATAAGGTAAAATTATATATATTTTCAGGTCGGGTATTTTTCCTCCTAAACCCGAACTCGACCCGATCTGAATATCACACTTAAAAAAACTGACCTGACCAAAATAAAGTTTCACCGGACTCGACCTGAATATATGAATTAGAAACCCGACCCGACCCAAAATAATAAAAAAATATTTTTATTCAATATATGAATAAGTTACCAAAAGATTGATGATGGTAGTATGATCAAATTTCAATTCCCTCCAACAAGGAAATTGAATTCCATCATAAAATGGATGAAATTCACTTTCCCTCATTTGATGGAAAGTTGAAGCCATGAAAAATTTTAATTTCCTTAAAAAACTTGAACCAAAAATAGGAAAATGATAAAATTAAATTCAAATTTCCCCTAATTCCAAGGAATTAATGCCATTCAAACGTCATCTTAGGGATAGATTAAGTGGACCCCACTCGCGTAGGCCCACCTCTCTCATCTTATGCGGTGCATAAGCCGTGGGTTATGGCAGGCTGACGTACTTTTAACTTTAAACTTACGCCTTTTTCACCCAATCATTTATATTATGAAATGTAAAATTATATTACTTTCCACCATTATTGTTGGCTCGGTTCAGCCAAGCCGCTTCCATTTCGACTCGGCTTCTTTTGCACAAAATATTGCTGGTTTAATTATTCATAGATCCTTGTGAATGTAAAAATTAAAAAATTAATTCATGACCCCTCAATTTTTTGTTTTAAATACTCCTTACTTCCCTTTCGATTCCAAAAGTAAACAAGTTACCATCGATATCAATTTTTAGATTTTAAATCAATGTGTTATCAAATAAGATTTCAATAATGTTTTCGTATTTTATTGTATAATCATAGATATTCATGTATTTGTATGATACATGTAGCACATAACTATTGGACGTCACTAATTCTGAGGGCAAACTTTGATGAAAATAAAAAATGATATTTTAAAGTACAAAATGAAAAATAATATAAGTCCAAGAACTACATCGCAACTTAAACTAGCAATTTTTAATTAAATATAAAGGGTAAATTACACTTTTGCTAATTGAACTTTACTCTCTCTATTTCACTCATCGTACTTCCAATTTTTTTAATTTACTCACTTCACTCTATAGATTTGAATTTTTTTATCACTCTTCCGTTAAATGATTAAACGATGTTAAGACATTATATAAAATTTAGTGAGTAAATTGAAAAAAATTGTAAGTATAATAAGTGAAATAGAAGAGAGAGTAAAGGTTATTTAGCAAAAGTGTAATTTACTCAAATATAAAATATAACGTAGCAATAAGAGTTAATAAATGTTAAGCCTTTTGGCAGCCGACTCATTACTTAAACATGCAGAAAACAAACAAGCACAAGCAAATATATATCAATGAAAGTGGACAATATCATATTGACAATACTGCATTTTAGGGTGGAAAATACTAAATACTCATCCAATATAAAAAAAATAAAAGGTCTAATCATGTTTTCAATCTTTGTACTATCCAAATATTTAAAATGTAGTCACTCTAATTTAAATTTAAGTATTTTTCACCCTTTAGAGAAACGAGTATTTCATTTTAAAGGTTTTTAGTCTTTGTTTAAATGAAGAATTATATTTTTCACCCTTTTGAAAAATTGCAAATTTCATTTAATATTCTTTTAGTTATCCATTAATATTTGATCAATTGATCGACTATTTCAGATCAGATTTTATAAAGACTCGTTAGGAGAGCAATATTATCGACCTAACTATTCCATCCATAGAATTTCTAATTCTAGTTATCGAAAATTTTATAGTTTTATCTACGCACAAACGTAAATTTATAATTTCACTTGATTACGTACATAGCACGTGAAAAGTTTTAATAAAAATAAATAAAATTATTGAATCTGAAATCTCTGGTTCTGAGTTCAAGATTATAAGATTTTAAAAAATTGAGCGAGTGTTGATATTTATCTTTTATTTGTACGACTTCCATAGCACTTTATATCACATAATCCAATTTAGTATGTATCTTTTGATGATATATGAATTAAATCTTTAAGTATAATAATCAAATTTTAAATTATTTATCTATTAGTTTAAATAAAATAATATAAAAAATTATTATAATTTTTAAAACAAAATTAATTTATTTCGTTCTTAACTTGAAAATAGATTAAATTTCTATTACTAAAAAAGAGCGAGACTACATGCGGACAAAAGATATTAGTTAGAAGATGGATTTATAGAAGTTTAGGAGAGAAAAATATATTAACAATAGTAAATACAAAAAATGAAAGCTTAAAATTTTTATAAGACGGTTATTCTCATTATCCCTCTCGATTCATCTTTGAACGAGATCATTAATAATTGATTGATTTAGTAAGATATTACATTAGGATAAAATTAAAAATTCGAATTATAATGTGATAAATGAAATAAATTAAATTAAGAGAATGAACCTCTCTATAATACCTAATTAAGATTAATGGATGGAAAATACAGGTGAATAAGAAAAAGAGTGGGACCTATTGGATGCATTTGGGACGTCATCTGAAGCAACATGAAATTTACAATGAATAAGAGTAACGAGTACGGTTTAGATTCGCTACTATAAATTCCCTTGTTTTTTCTTTCATTTTCCCTCACTGTTTTGTCTCAAAAAAAAAAATCAATCTCTTCATTCATTTATAAAAACTTTTAATAAAAAACAAAATCTAATCAATCAGATCTCGCCATGGCTGCAGAAGAGTTGCAAGAGTCCGAGGTTATATTTTCCGACAACACCAGCGACATTTACGCCACACATCGTCACCAAGAAGACGATGACGGCGGCTACTTCGATCATCCAGCAGGAATCTCCATAAACGCCGGCGTTTCGACACGTAAGGAAAAATCGAAGAAGAAGGTAGCTGCCAGTTCGCTTCCCGTCAGCATCCCACGCCATCATGGCGGAAGTGTTTTCGGCGGCGATTTTGAGGAGGAAGACGAAGAAGATATGGAGGAAGGTGAAATGGTGCCGCCGCACGTGATATTGGGGAGGAGAATTGCCGGGAAAGTGGCGTTTTCCGTTTGCACCGGCAATGGAAGGACGCTTAAAGGGAGGGATTTGAGTCGAGTTCGGAATTCTATTCTTAGAATGACTGGATTTTTGGAAGCATGAAAACCATAATCAAATAATTTGTCCATTTCCTTTCTATTTTCATTTCAAAATTTCTCTTTTGATTCTTAACTTACATAATCAACAACTAAATTATAACTTAATTTTCTCTGGGAATCTGTTGCTTTCGTGCAATGATTAGACTCTGAGCAGCGGCACCGCCATGATCAAAAAAGGAAAACACAGCTGGAGCTTTTGTCTTGAAATGGGACAGAATGCCAACAGGAACAGCTGGTTGTTCTTTGATTGAGAAAGAGAAGAAAGACACAGTAAAGCAAAGATGATAACTGGGTTCATTGGTTCATTGTGAGAAAAGAACCCAAAACAGAACTCAACTAGCTATTTCATTATATTTTTTTTTGGTAATTAAACATCAGTTTCTCATACATTGTATTGGTTTATAGGATTGTTTTACAAATACATATAAGATTTGAAATTAATCAGTATGAATATGGTTTAAAATTGATTAAAAATACGATCGCAATCATTTAATAATATGATCCACCATGTATCATACTACTATGAATGTATAATCTTAAAAACATCACTACAGTTAATGGATGTTAGATACATCTGTCCCTTCTTGCTCTATTAACCCCTTCTTATAAAATATGGAACAATTAAAAATTATGTATAATATATTCTCACATTTCTATTAATTATGTATGCATGAAAATAAAATGTTCTTTATTAAGTTAAATGTGATTACAAACTAATATTTATTTTAAAAAATTAATTATTTTACAATAAATACTCAATCATTCTTGTTATAGTCGTTGATGTTCGAATCTGAAACCTCTAAAAATAACTATCATTCATTTAATCAATGAGATAATTTGATTTATACTAAAGATAAAATGTTAATTTCATTTAATGATGGATAAAACGAAATAAATAAACATCACAAGCACCCATGTCCACTGTTAAATAGATTAATTTTTCAATATATATAATATTAAAAAAATTCAAGTTTTACCCTTGGCAACCATCTACTTACAACATCCCATTGGCTACAATCTGTATTTAATTTGATTAGTAAAATTAAAACTTAAATAATTTCATGTACATTAAGCAATTTTAAATATGATTATATTATAATATTATAGGACTGGCTTGAATATTGTAGGATAGGATGATAGGCTCAATAATTTGGGCATGTGATTTTCAATTCTTATTAATTACTCCACAACAGATAAGCATTAGTTCACTTTTGTCCGAGTAAACTATGACAATTCGACGATTTCGTACTCATACTAATATGTATTTTCAACATCATTATATAGTAGACATATTCCATATAGAATATGAAGTAATATTTATTAAACATCATTATTAAGTTACATACTGCAATTGCATATTACACTCCACTGTTTATTTATTTTATTTTTGTTGAAAATCTGGATGACAACTGTACCAAGGTGAACTAAGCTTCGAACCCAAGTGTTCATGAATTTGTGGATAAAAAAACACTTTTATACGAAATATTATTAAATTAATTTATTAATCAGACCTTATGTTTTTCATTAAAATAATATGAATTGGGTAAGGATGAAATTGACAACGAAGCCACGTGTGAGATCAGCTCACGTGGGCCGCATCATAGCCGTAGATAGGTTAAACACAAATCTCACCTTTTTATTATTATTTTAATAAAAATAATCTTTAATTAGTATTAATATTTGAGCTGAAAGTGCGTTAGGATGCAAAATGGATTATTTGCAAAGAAGTTGACTAATTAAATTCAATTTGTTAAATCAATTGGGTAAGAATTTAACCTGTTTGTTATAATTATTAGAAGGATTCTACCATTTTAATTGCATTTTTTTAATTGGATTATTTGCAAAGAAGTTGGACATAAATCTATTTAGATTAAATTATAATTTCAGTATTTCTATTATGTTTGAATTTCAACCTTAATTTAATTTATTTTCTCACCACTATACAGGGAAGGAGCGACCCGGGATCCACTGTCCTCCAAATTTTTTATTATTAAAAAATTATATGGTAAAAATATTAAATTAGGACTCTAAATTATAGTTTATTTTGATTTTACTCCTATTTTTTAAGTTTAATTTTGTCCTCCTCATTTTCTATGATTAATTATATTTTATCCCTTTTAAGTTGGAATTCCAACTTCAACCCCACCTCTATAGTATTATTATTATTAGTCGTACTAACTGTCGGAACCGTTTTTCGGGTGGGTCCGAAATTGGGCTTCGACTTGGATTAAACGAATTGGAGCCGCCACCGATTTTTATTTTAAAACAATTGGGTTGATTGTATACCTTATTTCTTACCTAATTTGCATCTTACCAAAGATGTGTCGGTTTCGAGAGTTTGTTACAGTCAATGAAGGGTTAGCACCCTTGAACTGCCCTTTCGGTACTACGTAATTTCCAGTTGTCCAAATTACTTACCCCTGATGGATTCGAAAGTGTACCCTTTAAAAAGTCGAGAAATGTGTTAAAATAAAAGTAATAAAATAAAGAAAATAAAAAGAAATCAAAGGAAAAATAAAAGGAAAAAATGAACTAAAGAAAATAATAATATGTACATATAATAATAAATAAAAAAAACAAGAATAAAAATAAAAATAAATAAAAAGATAAAAAAAATATAAAGGAAATAAAAGTAAAATAAAGATAACGAAATAAAGAAAAAGACAAATAAAGAAAAAGATAAATAAATATTAAAAAAACTACCCCTTCACTTCACCGAAAGTGAGGGGGAAATTTTGGTAAAAAACAAAAAAGGGACCATATATATATATATATATATATATATATATATATATATATATATATATATATATATATATATATATATATATATATATATTTAATAAAATAAGTAAAAAACAATAATAAAAGAATAATATATATATATATATATATATATATATATAAATACTAGGTAAAAAAAGTAAAATGTATACACATAGAAACGTATAAATAAAAAAATTAGAGAGAAAAAAATAAAAATAAAATAAAATAATAAAATAAGTAAAATAACAAAGAAAGAATAAATAATACACATAAATAATGAAACCCAAGCAAATAAAAATTAGTATTTAAATAAAAAAAAGGAAGGAACAAATATTTGTATATACAGTAAAATATAGAAAAATAAATTATATAAAAATATGTATATATATACATAAGTAAAAACTAACAAAATAATAGTAATAAATAAAAAACCAAATAAATATATATATATATATATATATATAATTAAATATAAATAATAATAAGGGATTAGCTTAAAATAAAAACAAAATCGGGGGCCACATTGAAAGAAAAATTTGTGTAAAAACCGAATTTTGGGAAAAATAAATATTTAAAAAACATGGGGATCAAAATTGTAATTCCCCCTCTTTTGTTTAAAAACACGTGGGTCGAAGGGGGCAGGTCGGGTCACGGGCCATCCGGGTTGGGTATAAAACCCATTTTTCACAAACACATTCATTATTTTCCATTTTACCCAAGATGAGTCAAATCAAAAAATTTTAAATCCTTTTATGTGTTCTTGAGGTGTTCTTCTTTTGAAGAACACCACCGCAATTTTCCAGAAACCGGCCGGCCACCGCCTCGCCAACTACCGTTCATTGACGGTGGTCGGAAATGGTTTTTGTATTTTTTTAAAAGCTCTTTCTTCCCTCTCTTCAAATATCAAAGTGATTTTTCGAAAAAAACGCCTTGGGGGAGTAGATCTAGAAAAGAAGATTCAAACACCCCCTCCGGTCATCTGTGATTGGGTTTTAAAATGAAACAGACTAACATACAAGCCAAGACCCACCAAATCCAAGGTAAAAAATTATACCTTTTTATTTTCTTGCTCTCGAATCGGTTACAAAATACTTCGATCCACTATTTGTATAATTTTTTATGTATTTCGCGTTGTATTTGTGTGTAAAAAACAGTGGTGATTACATCTTATTTATAGCCTAGGATTTGCTATTTTAAGTATTTGATTCCTAGTAAAACTCTAAATTTGTTGTTTGTTCTCTTGTTAGTGGTGACGCTGCCGTGAAACTCGGACGTGGCTTTGACCGATCGGTTGAGGGGCATGCGACACTCGACTGGACGAGAGATGATGTTAGGGTTTCAAAAAAAACTAACCGGTTCGGGTGCTCTATTGGACCGGTTTGGGTCTTCATTCGGGTTTGATGGGTTGCTCCACTAGATACGGGTTTGGTGTGTAATGAGTTGTGGGCTGCTGACTTTTGTAAATTGGGCTTCTGATCTTGGTTTTTTTTTGTAATAGACCTAAAATAAATAAAATAAATGTAAGTATATATCATATAATATAGTTTGCAATAATAATATTAATTAAATTGGGAATGGGTGGAATTCGGTGTCTTCGACTGCCCCTATTTGCTTATTATCGTGTAACGAAAATAGAGCAAAGATTAAAAGGCACAAATTTCGTCCATATCGAATATTCTCTATTGTAGAGTTGAAATCCAATGTCAAAATTGGTTTGTTAATTTGGATTAAATCTCGAAATGACTCTCTCGTCGTGAGTTTGAGTTGAACTGGAGACTTTCTGAGCACGATATCCTTCGTTGTGAAGTTGAAATTGAACTCAAAGCTTTTGGAAAGTGACCTCTGAATCGTCTTCTAGCTCAAGATACTTCGTCATGAAGATGAAACTTGACCTGAAGACTTCGGTGTTGTTGTGTTACGGATGACTCCTTCATCGTGAAGTTGGGTCAATCCTTTGGGTACGATATTATTCGTCGTAAAGTTGAAATCGTAGATGGCTCCTTCGTTGTGAAGTTGAGCTTTGAATTGGATATCCTTCGTCGTGAAGTTGAAATCCAATCATGTGTAAGTTGTGCTGTTTCGAGTCCAATATCTTTCGCTGTGAAGCTGAAATTGACTCTAAATGAAATTGGAAAGCTCATTCGCTATGAAGTTGAGCTTTGAATTGAATATCCTTCGTTGTGAAGTTGAAATCCAATCTAGAGATGGATGTTGCTTGTGGGCACGATATCCTCCGTCGTGAAGTTGAAATCGTTGATGACCAATTCGTTGTGA